GTCGACATATCGAGCCCTAAAAGCAAAAAAATTTAGGATTTTTTTTTCAAAACTTACTTCTTGAAGCAGAAATACTCTAGGACCTAGAGTCTAGATGAACAAAAATCTGACAGAGAGTAAATATTTAGAAAATGAAAGCAAATTTTCGCCGAAATGCCGATTCAGAATAGGAAAATATGCGTAAAGTTGAATGCGTCGATTTCGAAGCGCCCCGCAAATGAGAAATTGGTCATTTAATTTTCTTTTGTGGCGTATTTTTGGACTTTAAGGTGTATGTCGAGAATTTATTTACACTTTTAGCGGTGATAGCGGTAAATACACATCATATTCGCTGTAAAAAATTTCGAATTATGGTCCGACCATGCGTTCTTCAAGTTGTCAAGTCAACTCCGCACAGGTGCAAAGACAGTCTAAGAGCGTTTATGCACCAAAATTTAATTTTGAACAAAATTCGTTTGCGTTAACTGAGGTTTGAAGGAAACATGAGACCGTAAAATTTTTATATGTTTGTTTAATTCTCTGATCCGCCCCTGTTATGATATGCCAATTCATTCTATGTAGTAGTTTACAAATATACACGTATACTTCTGCAATCAACAAAATTTTCATAGGCTGTCTTTCTTTCACACAAAGCTAGCGATATTTATGATGTCAAATTACTGGTAAGTCGTCTCTTGAAAAATCGATTTTTTTTTAAGTTTTTTGTTTCTAATAAATGTACACATAGGTTTAAATGTATGTATGTATATTTATTATAATTTCTTTGAAATGCAAAAATTAATTCACATTCATTTAAAAATAAATCTGAAAAGATTGTTTTGTGTTTATTTATTTTTTTAATTTTCTGGAATATTATGGCAAAATGATTCTTAGTGTAAGGAAACAGACCTTGACTTTTTAACTACACAGCTGGCTGCTTTGACAGCGTTCCAAGCCGCCATTTGGCAAAACGAGTTTTTGAAGTAAATCAAAGCAAATTAAAGTAAGCAAGGCGTGCAAAGCAAGCCTGCATTGGGCCAGCGCCTTAACTATTAGCTGCAAATTCGTATCGGTTTGTGATTTTGTTACATATTTTTGAAATATTGTTTTTATTATCCCTAAACTATGTATATATGGGTCAGTCCATGCAAAATTTACACTAAAAGTTTTTTTCCGCTCAAATTATTTTTCTTTGCATTCTTCGGGTAAAATTTGACACGTATTTTTTTATTTTAATTTGACACATACAGTTTCCGACATATATTTTTTTGAACTTTAAGCATGCCAAAAAAATAACTTTTTAATATATGCTCCGCGAAAACAAGCATTTTAATAAAAAACAAACTTAATCATCGTACCATTTATGACTTTTTCTTGGCTTTCATATGAGAAGTCGATACAATTATTTTTTAATACAACAAATTGGATATTAAAAAAATAATAACAAATTAATTTTTTTTTTCAAATTTAGTAATGATTTTTTTTTTTATATTTTATTGAAAACTGTTCTTCAAATACTTATGTAAAGCCTGTAAAAATTTCAGAATGGGTAGTTCAAAATTACGCTTATAATCAAATTTTAAATAAGTGCGAAAGCGCTAAAAACGCGCGCTCTCCTTGGCGTGCACCATCTATCTATGTACTGAATGTAGTTATTTATTTTTTATTAGGGTTCTAATTACGCCCTTCTACAATAATGAATATGAATATCTACATTTTATTTGCTGAGGCACGCCTTTTCCCGGTTTTACAAAGCTTTCTATTTTGAAATCGTTACATCGTGCGTGCCTGATATAGGGCTTGTTCGAGTTGCAATCACAACAGCTGTGTTGCACGATTTCTTAAAGTATCACGTTCGATGTGAAATTGTGGCAACATTGGCAAAAGCATCGCGTTCTGACTGTAAAAAATTCGGAAATTGTTGCGCGCAAAGTCAAGTAAATCGGCATCACAAATTTTTTTTGTTTGCACGATTGCCATGGAAGACGAAAGGTGAGCAAAATAGTTTATATTAAAATGTATTATTTTTAATTTATCATATACATATACATTATCTAACAATATTTGTGTTTATTGTATATTTCAGTGAAAACCTGAGCAGCACTTTAAATAAATTGCTAATACGGTGTCGGCTAGATATGGAGCCGGAATTCGTTGCAGGAAAAAAGAAAAAATCGGTCCTCTGGGGCAAAGTCCTGGTGAAAATGAAAGAGGTGAACCCTGAAATCACGCAGTCGAAAGAAGTGATCCAAAGAAAGTTTTTGAACTTGCTGGCGTCATATAAAAGGATCAAAAAGCGGAACCACTCAACTGGGAGGGATGCCACAACATGGGATTTTTATGATGACTTCGATAATGTGTATGGCAGGCGACACTCCATTCAACCTCCAGAGCAAAATCTGCAGTCCTCTCTTCCAGGATTGAGTGAAGTAAATGTTAATGAAAATGAGAGTGATTCGGATGGAAGAGACTTTGAAACGAGTGTTGCAAGCACGCCAAGAAAACGCAGTAAGCCTTCAGCAAATGAAACACTTGTATTCTTCAAGGAAGAAGCTGCCAATGAACAAAAGCGCCATGAGGAAGTATTGAAGTTGGAAAAAGAAAAATTGGAAATTGAAAAGGAGAAAATTAAAGCCATGGAGGAGTTGAGAAAAGTGTTAGAGATGAGGACGCGGAACTGAGTCATATAACAAAACTTTATTTTTTTTAAATTTATCTGAATTGAATGTGACTTTATTTAATAACATAAACGGAGAAATTAATTTTGTTTAAAAAAAAGTTTATCTGAAATGAATATGATTTTATTTAATAATTTATGTAGTGCAAATATGTATATGCATACAAATGTAGACATTAAAAATAAAAATGAGTTCAATGTAACAAAAGGAAAATGTGTGCATGTACATATGTAAATAAAAACCATTATGAAACAAATAACATCTTTAAATTATTTCTTTTTTCAACGCCTTCATTAGTGTCATTGATGTTTTCCGGTAATTCGATTTCTGGATTATTTCCATCTTCTAAATTTACAAACGTATTCTCAACTTCGAAATTTGTTGTACTATTTCGTATTATAAAATTATGTAAAATTGAACAAGCTAACACGACTTTTGAAATATCTTTTTGAGATTTCACATCTATGTGATTTAAAATCTTAAACTTCTGCCTTAAAATTCCAAAGGCTTGCTCAATAAAAACGCGAGTAGAACTTAAATAGTAATTAAACTGCTTCTCTTCTCTTGACAAATGTCCATTATCTCTGTATGGAACCATTATGTATTTGGAAAGAGGATATGCTGAGTCTGCTAAAATTACAGCATCTTTAGCTAGATGAATCTGTCCAGAAGCTATTCCTTTGTAAAGTGGGCTATTTTTCCACACGTTAGCGTCGTGGCAGCTGCCCGGAAAGCCGATAAAAACATCCAAAAAACGAAAGGCGCTGTGGCATATGGCCTAGAAATATGATACCAACTTATATAATTTTTTTTTTAAGAAATATTTTGGAAACGCATACCTGCATAATTATTGAATAGCTTCCTTTTCGATCATAATAGCTTATGGCATCTGTCCTCGGGGTGTTTATGTGGAAATGGGTTCCATCCAGGCACCCTACTACAAATGGAAAGGAGTTCACCCGGCTTTCTTGGAAATCTTCGATGATCTTGGTCTGCTGAGAAGCAGATGGCCAAGAAATCTCGTTTTTAAGCTTACATATAGCTTCAACGGTTTTAAAAAAAGACTTTGTGGGCTGTTCCTTTTCCAATACCAAATCTGTCAGAAAGTTCACGATAGGTGACCCTACTATTGCCCAGTTTCCGTAATATTATGTGCAAGCTTTGCTCCAATGAGTACTTACCGGAAACATTTGAAAAAAAATGGTTCGAGTTCAGTCTTCAATTTCTATAAATATACCTATTACAATTTTTTATTTCAAAATCAAAGTCACACAACTTACACTAAATGTTTCACGGGACATCCGAAAATGTGTAAAATAAATGTCATTTGGATACAATTTAATCGTTTTAAAAAAGTGAACCGTTTTCGTCACATTTCTCCTCCGACACAATTCCTGTCTCATCCAATTTCTTTTCTTTATGCGCTTCATTCTTTTTTTTGCCATTATCATAAGAAAATTACCGTCCGTTTCGAAATTATCCAGCAAAATATTTATAGAAAACTCCATTATTTTTAATTTGCGTATTAATTTTTGTCAATCTATGCAAAACAAGCGCTGAACATCAGAAAAGTATCAGCTGAGCAGTTGCACCAGGGTTGCAAACGACAATCAGAGCAGCAGTATTGCCGCTTTTATTACGTGCCTCGAACAAGCCCGTGTACTATTCCCTATCAAATTTCAAATCAGGAAATTCTTTGAAATACCAGGTGTGTATGAAAGTTTTGCTGAAAATATGACGACCATATCAGTTGATAACTCAACTCTAAAAAACTTCATTAATGGCAAATTATGGCAAAAAAAAATAAAATTATCCCGGAAAATTTGTAATTCCTTATTTACTCTATTTCGACGATTTCGAAGTGAACAACCCTTTGGGTTCGCACTGTTCATCTCATTTGGCAACTTATTACTCATTTCCTACAGCTCCAGTTACTATTAAGCATAAACTATTTACTGTATTCATTGCAGCTCTATTCAAATCGAAAGATGTTAAAACTTTCGGTAATGCTAAAGCGTTTTTTAAATTGATAGAAGTCCTCAACGACTTAGAAGAGAATGGTATAGATAAAAAAAATTCAAGTGGAATTAAACGAATCTTTCTTTGCTTGGGCTTTATAATCGGAGATAACTTAGCATTAAATAATATTCTCGGCATTTCTGGATCTTTTTCCTCAAACTATTTTTGCAGATTTTGTAAAGTTAATAAAATAGAAGCTAAATCAGCGTTTATGGAAGAGTTTGAGAAATTGCGAAATAAAGTAAATTATGATGAAGACATTTCACGGAATGATTTTGGAAACACAGGGATTAAAGAAGATTCAATTTTTAATAAAATACATAGTTTCCATGTTACAGAAAATTATTCTGTTGATATATTACATGATATCTTCGAGGGCGTATTGAATATAGTTTTTGTAACATCATCCTGCAATATATCAATAAGAAAACTTTTGCTTTGGAACTTTTAAATCTTCGGAAACAAAATTTTAACTATGGCGAAACTGAAAATGGGAATAAATCATCTCCTCTGCAGTTGCATCACATTAAATCATTTCATTTAAAATTATCTGGACGAGAAATGTTAACTTTTGCTCATTTTTTTACTCTGATTATTGCAGACGTAGTAGAAAGAGATGATGTTTTGTGGAAATTTGTTTTAAATCTTATAGAGCTATTAGACTTGTTGCTATTATCTGAATATACGAGCTTAGATATAATAAATTTAAAATCTCATATATCCGCTCATAACAGCGAATATGGGAAGCTTTTTCACGATACTCTAAAACCGAAACATCATCTTCCTATCCATTACTGTAGAGTTCTTGAACATTCTGGTCCCTTAAAATTGCTGTGGACGCTACCTTTTGAATCTAAGCATAGACAATTGAAAGAATATGCTAAAAACATTACATCAAGAAAAAACTTAACGTTGTCTTTAGCACTAAAGTTTTCAATAATATTTTCCGAAACTATTACCAATTTTGAAAACACCGATTGCTTACTTGGCAAAACAAAAAGCTTCTTACAATCTTCTTTGTATTGGATACAATTAAAAACTATTTTTAGTGAGGATCAACTGAGCGAGTGTATATGTTATTTGAGTTTAAAACGGCATAATACATTTGATAAAAGCAATTTTATTATTTTTTTTTATGATCCTAATTTTTCCGCTTTTCAAATACTTGAGATTTTCGTAATGAATGAAAAAATTTTCTTATTTTGCGAAAAAATGAATATACTAACGTATAATCCACATTTTTTGTAATACGAAGTCGGCTCCAGAACCTCTGATTTTAAACTCTTCAACATAAATGAATTACAATGTCCACCAATTCATCTCTATACAGTTCAAAATCAATAATTTTTGAGACCAAAACACTTCTTTTAATGCACATATTTATTCGTAAAGCCCCTTTATATAATTATTACTTATTTCTTTTGTACTTTCCG